GTGAGAGAGGGAATACACAGGGCAAGAAGCCTAGGCCCTGGTCTCCCCTCTATGGAAGACATAAAGCTGGAGTGTAGGATGAGGCAGTTCCATCTTCCCAGGGGGTTTGCTTCTTCAGCCCTTGCTTCCTCCTCCTACTCAGTTACTGATTTTAAGAGAAACGACAAAAGTCACTGGAACACTCAAACAGTGGAGCTTGGAACACTCACAATGACATTAGTGCTTAAAAATTTTTTTGTTGTTCTTTGTTTTTGTGGTTGAATAAAGACTCTGTCTTTGAAACTCATTTTTATTTTCATTTTCCAAAATTACTTTTTATTGAAAATGGCTTGCTTGCTAGTAAAGATATGCTTAGCATGGTGATACAAGTCACAAATTCAAAGTCTACTTTGTAAAATATTAATATTTTCTATTAAATAGAAGACCCACCTGGCATTTAATGGAAGGAAGTTGAGCGTAACACTACGCAACCTATGCTTTGGTTACTTTAGTAACAGTTGAAAGACAAAAGTATGGCTAGCGAGCTAGCCCTGTCTTCTTAAAAACTACCATGCAATCTAAATCAAATGCTTGAAATTAATGAATAAAGAGCTAGAAAAATTTATATCATAGTAAATCTTTTATTAAGACCATTCACCACATACTCATTCTTTTGAGAAGGTAAGGATCTTCCCTCCTCTTCAAGGTTTGGCTAGGCTCATTCTGGGCAATGGTTTACAGAACAATGACATCCACCTGTGTGTACATAATTTGATTTCTTTCTCTAGAATATTTCACACAAAAATCTTCAGGTTTTTCTCTTGCACTAATTTACTACTGTGTATAGCATTTAAAAAAAATACAAATGGAATCTCAGCCTACACTTTTCAAACCACATCAATGTCTTAACTCTCAGAGAACCAAAACTACTGTCTTCGATTTCTTTTAACCTTAGAACTTAAAAGGGCCATTCATTTATCAACAGATTATTTCTTATAATCTTTTTAAAGTATTTATTTCATGATATCATTTTGCAATTAAAAACTCAAAGGTCAATGAAGCATGCAATACACAAGAGAAAGTATTTTGTACAAGCCAATTACACCAGAAATACAAAACTAAAGATTTTTTTTTTTAATGGAGTGAACATTTTTGCAAGTAGACTACTACCTGCTGTTCTAACCTGTTACGGATAATAAAGGATCAACCACACAACTCCACAAGTGGAAGTTACCAGCTTTCATACCACCTGGTAAAGTGCTAAAGAGACTTGCTGGAAGGGCCTGAATAGCAGCACCTCGTCCCATAGAGAAGAATCTAAACTACAAAGCTAACTGGGCTTCAAAGGTTCCCGTGCTTCCCCAAAGCAACCTACTAACTGAATGTGAGCAGAGTATCACCTCCAGCACACACAGACATACTGTTTTTCAACTGATAACTGAGCAGAAGCGAACCCAAACTCGACACCGGGGGCTGCAGGGTCCCGTGCCCCGCAGCGCAGGGGGAGGCTCGGGCGCAGAGGGAGGCTCGGGCGCAGAGGCCACCGCATGACGCCCGCCTGAGCCCCAACCGGCAGAGCCGAGCTTCAGTCCTGCCACATCTGACCCTCCACCGAATCACTGGCTCAATCATGTCACCACACACTTGCTAGCACGTCTTCTGTTTATTTCCTTGTGTCAAGAAAATGACTTAAACTCCTAATGCGAAAACTGTGCCCGGGTCAGAGTTGCCAGAAAAGCCGGCTCGGGAGCCAGAGCCCGAGCCGGCCCACCAGTGGCGGCAGAACAGGGTAGAAAAGCCGAGAGGGCGAGCACCTGGGGCGGCCGCCGCCACACCCCAGCCCTCCCTCACCTGACTGCCCGAGCCTTCCCGGGCGCCCGCACCCGTACCTTCGGCCAGCGACTCCTCCAGGGTGACCTGGTAGCGGCCGACCGCGAACACCCGGACCCCCACGGACGAGCCGCCGGAGCCAGAGCCCGCGCCGACCCCGCCGCCCCCCCCACCCCCCGGCCCGCCGCCGCTGCCGCCCTCCGATCTGGGCATCCGCGAGAACTTCTTCATGGTCCCGCCGGCGCGCTGGAGGGCGCGGGGAGCGCGCAAGGGCGAGGCAGAGGGCGAGTGCCCGGCCGGGCGCCGGGCGTCAGCGAGGGTTCTGCGCCCCTCGCCCGTCCGAGCGTCGGTGCGCACCGCGGCCCGCCGCGCCTCACATTCCGCGCGCCCCGAGCGCGCAGCCCCGAGCCCGCCGCCCGCTCCGCTGCAGCTGCCCGGCTCCCGCAGAGGGCGGCGGGAGGGCGGGGCCGGGGCGGGGCTCCAGGGGGCGGGCCCGAGAGCGGGGGCGACGCCGCAGCCTCCGCCAGTGCCCGGAGCGCCCGCCGCCTCGCCGAGCGCTGGGAGCGCGAGTCCGGGCGCAGGGTGGGTGTGGGGAGGGAGACGGGGCGCCTGGCCCCTCCGGGCAGCGGACTGGACCTCTGGGGTCGCAAACCCTCGGGACCGCCGCCCGCCGCGCCGCAGCCCCGGCCCGACCCGCGCCGCCCGCCACTCGCCGCCGTTGGCGGTGCGGCGCCGCTGAACCGCTGACTGAGGCCGGGCGCCGCGCGCAGGCGCGCTCCCAGCGCCGCCGGAAGTGACGGTGCCGGCTCTTGTCACGTGGGGGAGCGGGGGCGGGGAGCGTGGGGGTTGGGGGTGAGAACGAAGTCTGGGGTCCCGTGTTCCGGGGTCGCCCCGGGAGGGCTCTGGCCCAGCCTGTGGGGCTTGGCTTCGAGCAGTGAGGTAGCCTGGGCAGTGGTTCCCACGCTGGCCACGCGGCCGGGTCTGTCATCTCGGCTGGGAGTCGCTGTGTCTCTCCGGGGACTTAAAATGCCAACAACTTTGCCCGCACTGAGGAACTTCTCGGTTTGTTAGCCAGTTTCCAGACCTGCTCCCCTAGAACCTCTTTCCGCCCTCCCGGCCCGAGCGTGGGACGTAGGAGCGGTGCGGAGCGTGGAAGACGCTGTGTCGCCGACGGGGCGCGTTCTGCAGTTTGTAAACGACTCTGACAATCTCACGTGTGCTGGACCGACCGTGTGGAAGCCAGATCAGGTGTTGAGGCCGTATTACAGACCGTTCATCACCTTTAGCTTTCAGAGGTTTACGGAATTGCCCAAGGTCACGCGGCTGGCTCTGGATAGTCCCTTTGATTCTTCTGTGGTTTTGACTATTCTAATAAAGTAGGGCAGACTTAAGGCTGCTTGGAAGCAAAAGCACTGGAGTCTCCCTCTCCTCTCTTAACAAAGAGAAATGTCCTCTTAAAAAAAACAAAAGTTGTGTCACTTTCACAAACTGCCAGAGTCTCAGAGTGGTAGGAAATGGTAAATTGTAAAGAACAGCTCCAAGTCTCAGCTCCAGCCTACTTTTCCACATATGAAGACAGGCCCACTGTGCCCAGAGCTTACAGTTTCTTAAGAGAAGCAAAAACATCTGATTTAATGCATTTCTCAAAATTATAAAATACAAGCCAAATAAACCATCTGCGGGACTCCAGTCACCTTCTGGGAAAGTAGATGAATGTGGTTCTATCCCCACCCCTAGTTATGCTTTTTAGTGAGATACAAGCAGAAGCGTTAGAAAACATGCTTAGCCAAAAGGCTTACGGCTTAAACTCCTTCCTTCTTTCTTCCCTGCTACTTGAAGAGAGGCTGTTTCTGCCAACACTGAAACAGTGCTCCGGATTTGGGCATTTCTGCTGCATAACCCACTAAGCTAATAATCTTCATCCAGAGTCCTGACCTTTAAACATTCCAATGCACGTGAGATACTGTGTCAGATGATGGCCGTGGTGTGGCAGTAGGGATTTCTATTTAGAAACAAACTGACCATTTTCCTTAGTCTGGGAGTTCGCTGTAGAGTTTCATTCCCACATTTGAATTGCCCTTTTCAAGCAGAATATAGAAATTTAGTCATTTCATGCAATTCAAAACTGAAATCAGTCTGACAAAGTTGGTACCTAATACACGTACAACTTCACCTGATCACAGCACGAGAATAAAGTCTTCTATACTCAGTTTGAAATTAAACTTAGCGCAAATGCTGTGATAAAAAGTAAAGAACCCTCAGGTTTTCCCTTAAAGGAAGTCTTTTACAGCTTCTTTTTGGCATATCCCAGTGATCTTGCTTTAGGGGCCATGATTGCCTAAAATAAGGGTTCCTTGCACACAGGCACTGAGATGCCCTGACAGTGGATCTGGTAACAAAAAAGACCAATTGCTAATGGGAGGGTAGTACCGACAGGGAAGGGAGGATTCATGTCCTAGATGGGACAGGGCTGAGTGGCTAACTATTTCATCTTGGTACTCAGAAGGGCATGCAATTTATAATTTATGAATTATTTATTTCTCAGATTTTTCATTTAATATTTTTGAACCATCATTGACCTCAGGCGACTGAAACCTAACAAAACAAAACCTGAGATAAGGGGACCTTCTGTATTACTAACAAGAATGCCAAATGTTGATAAGCACTTTTACTGCAAAAAGATGTTGCTGTCCATTGTCAAATTGTACTCTTCTAACAAACTTGAGAGTTAAAAATGTATATCCCTAAACCAATTTGTAGGTAGAAATTGAGATACTACAGGTTGTAACCAGTAGAAAAACTATATTGAGAATTCTAGTCTTTCATATTTTTTTCAGAAAAATTTACAGGCATATGTGGGTATTAATTTTCAATCTTAACATAAAATGAATTTACTGGTTTCTAGGAGATTATTCATTTAAAAAACTTTCACTTTAATGAATCATATTATTCTTAGATGTAATAAAATGCCTGGATTGTTCTTGTGTTAAAAACCTCTGTAATAGGGGTGGCGCCTGTGGCTCAGTGAGTAGGGCACGGAGAGTGGCAGGTTGGAACTCGGCCCTGGCCAAACTGCAATGAAAAAATAGCCAGGCGTTGTGGCGGGAACCTGTAGTCCCAGTTACTTGGGAGGCTGAGATAAAAGA